CTGGAAGCTCTTAATAATTTCATCTTTGGATTTGTGTTTTGTAAGTGAGGTCCAATGGGACAATGAAGCATGCAGTGGGGGTTTGGAGCCTTAGCCATCACATCTCCCACCGCCTCCCCACGTCCCCAGGATGGGTTCTCAGCTCTCCATTTCCCTGTCCCCTGTAGCCCTGGGTCCCTTACAGCCTCTCCTTCTCCAACCAGTGACAACTGCCTCCTTCCGTCCCCAGCAGGGTCCTAGCACAGACACAGCAAGGGTCAGGGTTGGGCACACAAGCTCTGGGTGTTTCTAGGTGGAGCATAGCAGCACCATCCCCTCTCCAAGCTAGTAGCATGTGAGTGCATTCCATCAGTGATCCAAGGAACTGGTGGGGAGACTACAGGCCCCTTGGATGGCCCATCTGCTGTAGAGGATGGGGGAGGTCCCAAGGGAAGGGGATGTACCTGGCTCAACTTCCCTGCCCCAGGCCAGGTGACAGTACATCAGTCAGGGCAGAGGGGAGACCTCAGGTCAGTGGGTCATAGGCATGATAGGCTTGAAGCTTTTCTGAGGAGTCTGCACTCACCCCAAGAGTAACCCCAAGGCAAAGAGAGCAACATTAAATAGCAAATGAAAAATACCATGACAGGTTAAGAGAGAGACTACAGAAGAAAGGTAAAATTTCTTTATATTTTAGTGCCTTTAAACAACAGATTTTTCCTACTTTTTTTTTTTCCCTGAGGAAGATTAGCCCCGAGCTAACATCTGTGCCAATCTTCCTCTTTTTTGTATGTGGGTCACTGCCACAGCATGGTTGACAAGCGGCATAGGTCTGCACCAGGGACCTGAACCCATGAATCTTGGCTGCTGAAGCGGAATACACTGAACTTAACCACTATGCCACCAACTTGGCCCCCAATTTTTCCTACTTTCTGAACAGGATCCCACACTTTCATTTTACTCTGGGCTCTGCAAATTACATAGCCAGTCTTGCCGGTAGATTTCTCCTACTTGCAACCAAAGGAGTCCCACCTAACACATAACATGCCTTTCCACGGCTCTATATTTTAAGTAATTCCTTATAAGCCTCTTTGACATGAGATAACACCCGTCTGTAAATTATTCCATTGGGTTAGAAGCATTTTTTCAAATCTTTCTCCCACACTAAATGGTGAAAACTCCAAAAGCCTCATCTTGCCTTTTGCTCTTTTGGTGCCTGGAACTGTGCTCCAGACACAGAATTCACACTCACTGTATGTTTATGAAATCAATGTCAATATTATTAGTCATTAAAATAAGAATAGTTTCAAGGAGCATCACATCTTACCCAGCCGTAACGACAGACAACAGAGGAGGCTTAGTCTATCAGCTATTTATGGACAGCTGCCTAGGGAAAGCCCACCTTCGGCTCCAGGTTAACGGAGACTGGGAAAGCAGACAGGAACACTTCTGAGATAACCCCAGCCCTCAGGTCAGGCTGTGCAAATCTGATTTGAAACAGCTTACTAATGCTTTCTCCACTTAATCCCAAATGCCAAAATATTTAGCAACAGATGTTACATAGTTTCATAAGTACATTAACCTGGTTATTAAAAATACAAGCAAATTTTTTAAAATTATAGATTGTCATTGCACTGTCTCTCCCCTTTCTGTTTTCTCTACAGTCTCTAGTTAGAATATAGATATGTTCTATATATATAGAACATATCTATTTTATATACATATATAAAATAGATAGTTAAATGATGAACAGAGAGAAAGAGGAAAAGGAAAGAGAAAGAGAAGAAAAAGGAAGAAAGGAAAAAAAGGAAGTAGAGGGAGGAAAGAAACGAAAAGCAGTCACAGTAACTGGGTTAAACCAGAACCAACGACGTCTGATTCAAGATTTACCTGTGAAATAGAATAATGCTATCGACTTCCCGGGGTTATTCTGGAAACTAGAGATAACATATGTGAACATACCAGCAAGGTGTCTTGCATATACTCAGTGACTGCTGTTGAAGCAGAATGGGTATTTTCCAACCACGTGAGAAGAAAAACCTCCTTACATGGGCATCAGCCAGCAGGAAAGCCCATCTGAGAGAATTCACACCAATTAGTATTGTTTCAGAAACCGCTGCCTTGTGTTTTGCTTGTTAACAGGAGTGTTAACAGTGTTTATTCCTACTGAGATGTAGTCAATTCCATGAACAATACCATGTCTAGAAAAGCTTTTATACATTAAAAACAAAAACAGAATTAGTTCAGATTGTCTGGTTATCCTTGTCAAACTACCTCTGTAAATGTTCCGTTACAGGTGGAAAAGCCAACTATAAAGTGTACGCCCTGACGCTGAGACACGGATTTGTGTCCTTCAGTCAGAGGGCTGAGGTTCAAGCCAGTTCGTGAACTGCCACCTTCCTCCTTCATCATTGTACCACTAATTACACTCTCTTCACTTTTTATAGCATTTGATAGTTTAAAACATATCAATATACATTCCTTTAATAATACTTTGCAATAACGTTGGGTAAACACAGATGGTGATATTAACCCAATTTTAATATGTAAAAACATAGAAGTTACAACTCACCAGCGATGCAATCAGGTCTAAACCCCAACTCTCCAAACTTTGTCCAATTCTTCAACTACACTGCACTGCCTCCCCATGCAACCTTTATAAAACACAGGATTCTCCCTGTCTTACTGAGGTCAACACGATTGACCACGAGAATCGCTTTAAGAAAATTATTTTCCCTAATTCATAACTTTCAAGGGAAGATGTATTTTCAGAGTCTGTGGACACAAGGAAAATTATTTGAAGTCATATTTTTCACAGTTGGACTTTCAAATTCCACAAAGGTGAAGCCTCCACTTATCACAATGGCATGAGAGGGCTTGGCAAACATGCTCACTGAACTAGTGCAATCAATATTATTTTATGAGGTAACATAATTCTGAAAAAACGCATTAAAATCAAATCCCTACATTGCTCCTCAGATTTACAGCATTAGCATGCAGGTGCCAGCAGTGGACTTGATAATCCATGGAATTGTGTTAATAGTTACGGTTTTTTGTTTTGGTTTGGCAATATTTTCAGCCTTCTTTTGAAAGCTGAGCACTAGTTTCTTTATTTGCCTTGTGAAACTTTAAAAAAAAACTACACAAATATAATGTGTATAAATTCCCATGGTAAGAGATGCAAACAATATTAAATCCATAGCAACAGGTAAATGTTCTTTTTCACACACACCCCCATGGGTAATACGGTGAACGGCTTGCATGTTTCCAATCTATGCATTTACATAAATATGTGTACAGACATTTGTAAATAATAAATTAGATATGTGATGATGCTGTATGTACTGTCTTGTAACTTGATTTTATTTATTTTTCTTTCTTTTTTTTCCTCAAAAATATATCTTGGAGATGGTTCAGGGTGTATGTGTGTGCATGCATGTGCACGTGTGTGTGCATACGTACCCTCAGAGCTTCAAACCACTGTATTCTAGTCCATGAAATGATACACCAAATAAATTAAATCATTTCATTACTGATGGATATTTTGGTTGTTTCTGGTTTTTGATGAATATCAAAATGCAGCAAATGTAGCAAATGCAGCAAAAACGTCACTATATGTGCATTTTTCCCCCTCAAGAGCATGTGCTTTTCTAGAACACATTTCAAGAGGTAAAACTAATGGAATCAAGAGATTCCAATCTCTGTATTATGCTTCACATTTACTTTAAATGTTGACAGATTTTGTCAATTGCCATTAAAAACTTTCACCATTGTACACTCTCAGGCATGTACGAGGCTATCTGTTCACCCCAACCTCACCAACACAGAATAAAAGCAATCTTTTAAAATTCTCCCCTAATCTAATGCACGACTATGGTGACTCAGCTATTGTACATTATTTCTCTCTCGTCAGCAGCAGGTCGTCTCTGCAGGGGGTACTGATAATGTGCTGTGTGTCCTTGGGCAAGTTGCTTAAGTTTCTGTGTCTCAGTTTTGTCACCTCTAAAATGGGGATGATAATAATACCTAACCAAAAGCGTTATTACCTAGTGTTTTTGTACCTTTTGCCTCTTTTTCAATGTGATGTGTCTCTTTCCTCTTTGGCTGATTCAGTCAGTTCACACATATTGAACGAGTGTCTACAATGCGTCAGGCACCATTCTCATTGCCGGGGACACAGCAGGGTTACATCCCAATGGGGAGGCAGACAACACAGAAACAAACACAGAAATGTATAATGTTCTATCAGGTTGTGCTAGGGAAGAAACAATACAGCAGGGGAATGGGCTAACAGGTAATAGGGGTGCTATTTTAGAAGGAGCGGTAAAAGACAGTTTCTGTAATGAGGGGACACTTGAGTAGATACCTGAAGGAAATGAGCAACGAGGCTGAGGGTACAATAAGCACAAAGCCCTGAAACAGGGATGCGGTTGACACGTTCGAGGGATAGCGAGGAACAATGTGTTGGTGCAGAGGGAGCGAGAGAGAGAGAAACAGAAACAAGAGATGCCAGCGGAGAGGAGCCAGGGACCGGATTCTGAATGCCCTCATAAACCAAAAGGAGGAATTCGAATTTTATTCTAATGCAGATGAAAGGCAGGGAATTGGCCTCTGAATTGCTGAACTGCTCCAAACACAGCGAGAGGCTGAAATTTTAAGCTTCCTACCCAAGCAGCTATCTCGAGTGTGGCCATGAGCACTGCCCACCTGCCCTCTGAGCAGAGCTCACCGGGAATAAAGGCCCACATCAGCAATCAGGGCATCCTTCACATGCAGGCCAAGAGGCGAAGCTGAACAGAGCCATCACACGGTGGAATCGTGCCTTTGACCCACTCCCACCTTTTTCATTCAACCCAAAAGGTAGACTCAAAGCATTTTTCTTCTTTCTGATGCCCAGTGTCCCCGCTAGCTGATAGAACAGGAACAGGAACCCTGGTCATGTGCAAAGGGTCTGCCACAGGGGCACCAAGCGCCCAGGCAGGGTGGCAGCTCACAGCCCACCCCTAAGGCAGCAAGCCTACCTCTGCAGCTGGTCCCGTTCCCCACGTAGCCCGGTTTGCAGGTGCAGCTGTGTCCCTGGACAGTGTTGGTGCAGATGGCATTCTCATCACAGCTGTGCTGCTCGCTGCCACATTCGTCATGCTCTGTTTGCAGGGTGAGAAAGAGAGACACCTTTTCTTAGGTTGGAATCACTGGTGTTGGAAAAATTAGCTGGAACTCACCAACTAAGAGAAGTGACTACCATGTACTGGACCTTCCTATGCGCCTGGCAGTGTCTCTGCCTGATGTGGTGGAAATCTCAACAACTCTAAAAGATGGATGTTATTATCTCCACTTTGCAAGTAAAGAAACTGAGTGTCAGAGAAGACCAGCGACTTATGCAACTCACATGACTGGTGAGTGCTGCTCTAAGGTCATTGCTTCTTTCATGTTCTGCAAAGGTTTCTGCAGAGGTTCCAAGGCAGTGGTTCTCAACAAGGGGCAGTTTTACATCCCCTCCCCTGGAAACGTTTGACAATGTCTAATGATATTTTTGGTTATCATGATTTGGGATAGAGGATGCTACCAGAACCTAGCAGATAGAGGTCAGGGATGCTGCTAAGCATCTTACAATGCCCAAGAAAGCCCATCACCACAAAGAATTAACCAGTGCAAAATGTCAACAGTGCCAAGGTTGGGAAACTTTCCTCTAAGGTTAAAAAAAGAAAAAGAAGGGGCTGGCCCCGTGGCGTAGCAGTTAAGTGCGCGCGTTCCGCTGCTGGGTTCAGATCCCAGGAGCACACTGAGGCACCGCTTGTTAAGCCATGCTGTGGCAGCATCCCACATAAAGTGGAGGAAGATGGGCATGGATGTTAGCTCAGGGCTGATCTTCCTCACAAAAACATAAATAAATAAATGTTTAATAAAAGAAAAAGAAACAAACCCACATGAGAGATTCCATGGCCTCTTTAGAACAAAGAGCATAAAACTGAAGAGGAAGGCCCAGCTAATATAGCCTGGCAAAGGAGCACCTACCCACAAGTACTGTCAGAGGAGTTCCACCGGTCATAGAGAATGCTGATGAGCATGGGGTTGTGCTCTGAGTAGCAAAGGGATTTACTATCAGGACTGTGTTTAAGGGCCTTCAGCAGTTTGGCTCAAATTTTCCATATAGGTAATTTTCATAGAGCTCAGAATTTAACCTCTGGGTTGATGCCTGATGTGTAGTAATACGGTTATATATATTCAAATAGCTGTGCATCCTTAATCCACAAGGTTTGGGGAGAAATACACCTAACACTACAAAACGGACTGAATTATTCCAAGTTTGAGACCAAGATTTCACAGATAACTATACTTTGCTCTCATAATCAGGAAGTTTAAATAGTCGTCAAAATGACCACTCTGTAAATAAACAATATAGGAAAGTTCACACCCTTTATTCCCTTCAACATCTGCTAGCATAACTTCTTAGAAATTTTAAAAAGAAAAACCAAGTAGGATTATTTAAGTCATAAAAGGTTATAAAACAAGAGTTGAAATCCCAGCTAGAAACCCCAAATAAATAACACTAATTGAACAAAGCTAAAACTTCAATATAGTTTGTTAAGTGAGCTGTTAGATCAATGTATCAATCAATTGAAATATCACCTCTCCATTAATTTTTATTCTTAATTTCCTAACAGGGATCAGTAATAAGAAAGGTTAAATTCTACAAAGTAGAGCTGTTTTAATCACCAACATGCAATTAAAGCAAAGCACACACACGCATAGGACTCTTGATTTAACACCTTGGATGTTTCCAAGGAAAGTTTTTCTTTAGGCCTTAAGATAAACTCAAACCGTCAAAGAGAAATGTGCATAGGTTAGCAAGCAGTGAGAAGGGAAGAGAAGATTTACGGGGACACACTTCTAGTCTGTGCTAAAGTCATCTCCAGCACACTCCAGAAACAGTATAACCCCACGGACGTCTGATCAAATTCACAGACATATCAAGCACCCAGTATGTGCAGGTGCAATACAGGTGATGTTAGACACACACACACACACAAAATAACAGACTTCAAGAGTTTTCAGTCTCCTCATTTAAATTCATTTCATAAACAATCACTAGGATCTGTACTGGGAATACAAACATGAGTAGATATGGTCTCTGCTCGCATGAACCCTGTAAGAGGGGCGACCAGACATAAATTTGTAACTAACTGGAACACAAGGAAGAAGGGATAAGAGTTACAAGCATATGACTTTACATCTTATCCTATAAACAGAACATATTTTAGACTGAAAGGGGGTTCTGCGAATAATTACACTGGGATAACAGGCATAACTCAGAACGACGCAGGCAAACCGGCACGTGTAGTCACACTGGTAAGACGAATAAAGATAAACTGGAATGAAAGTTCATTGGAGGAAAGAAGTTCCTTCCAATAGAGAGAAAAGTCTTCTTGCAAGAGGTAGCATTTGAACTAGTCTTTTAAAAATGGTCATGGTTTTCTCAGCCAGAATTGCCCACAAAGGGCACTCCAGGCAAAAGGACAGTGTAGAGAAAGGAATGGTTTTATGCAACATTCCAGAAGTTTGGCCCATTCTTACCTACCTGGTCTTTTCTCCCCCAGCTTTATTAAGGTATAATTGACAACAACAACAACAAAAATCTAAGATATTTAAAGTGTACAGTGTGATGACTATGAAAGGATTGTCTGCATTGAGTTAATTAACACATCCAACCTACCTGGTCTCATCTCTCAATATTCTTGAAGCAAACCCTCTCCTCTGATGAGGTGGCCCCATAACTGTCCCTCAAATTGAGAAGTTCATTCTTACCTCTCTACTTTGTCATGTTTCCCTGACTCAAAATACTCTCTCCAAATATAGTTGGAATATCTATGTCCCTGCCTGGCTTCAAACACCACTTCATACCCATACTCTTGTCATGAAGCCTTCCACACTCGCTCTCTACACCACATCAACTTCACCATCTTGGAACTTTTATTAAATGTAATATCTTTATCTCTTTGGATGCAATCATATCAGAATATATGGTGATGATACTTGCAACTTGATATAATCATATTATTAATAATAAAAGTGATTTTTAATCATTAATGCTTTGTTAACTAGTTAACTTTGAAGAGAGGAAATGTAGTATATTTTCTACAACTTCCACTTTACCTAGTTCTACTTCACGTAATGGTACTGAGCTAGACAGTCCCAAGCATTGAGCTAAATATTGTACATATGTTGTATCTTTAATTCTCCCAACAATTATATAAAATAAGTTTGCTCATTTTACAACGAAGGAACTGAGACAAAAAGACATTAAATAACCTGCCTAAGATCATGAAACTAGTAAGTGGGAGGGCTCTGATTGTGACACTGGGGGTGACCACCATATCACTGAGCTAAGCCAAGACATATGGAAGTGATTCCACATTGCCATAAATGAAGGCACTTTTTCTATACTGGCCCCAAATTCCCACTGATGATCTGGCCTACCCCCAAAGGACGAAGACTGCAAAGCTTCCGTACTTCATGAGCTTTAGTCATGCCCAAGTCTTCAAAGTAAACAGTACCTTCAAAACTATGTTTGATAGAGACGGCCATAGAAGAAATGGCCTCCTTCTAAAAATATCAAATCCCCTTCCAGCTGCTGGAGATGCTGCAAAAGGTCTCAGACAAGCACTTGTGAGAGATGGCACGGCATAAAGGTTAGGAGCACAGACTCCAGAGCCACACAGCCGGCATTAGATGGCCCTGGGTTTGCCATGTACTAGCTGTGTGAACTGGAGTAAGTTACTCAGCCAATCCGTGTCTTAGTTGCCTAACATGTAAAATGTGGGTAATCATAGAACCTATCTCCTGGGGTTGTCAGGAGCATTAAACTAGTTAATATAGGTAAAGTGCTTATTATAGCACATTGCAACCAGTAAGTGCTCATAAGTGTAAGCTATTGTATTATCTTTGTTGCTGCTACTATTACCATTAGAAGGACCACTACTATGATTACCACTACTACTGTGATTACTTGTGAGCAGACTTAATTGCTGGATGGTGGTGAAAATTGGTTAAGAAAACTTTCTCTTTCTTTTAAAGGCTGGTAGTTCAGGCAGAAAGGCCATGAACAGATAGACATTTGAAGACAATTAAATTAGAATACCTCTTTAGTTGGCTCTTTGAAGAGCCAACAAAATATTTGCTTAGATTCAATTATGGTACCTAAGAAACAAGACCATGAATGGGGAAGGGGATGGAAGTACATTTAGGATTGTTGATATATGACCAGAGTTTGATTATAGTATCTTTAGGGTATGAAACCTCTCAGGACAAAGAATAATGCTTATGGCAGCAAGCTGTTTTCCTACTGATGATAGTAATTATTATTATGCTGGCTAATATTTATTGAGCACTTATTAAGCACTGTCATTATCACATCGCTCCTTTCTCATTCCTCTTCTTTTCTCTTCTATGGAATGGCTCATAAGGACTCTAATCCACCTCCATAATATTGTAATCAATAGCTATTATCGATTAACACATTGTTTTCCTTAGTGAACTAGTCAGGACTCACACAATCTCCTGAAACAGTCACTTCAGCTGTGGCTGCAAATGCCCCACGTTTGTGGTCTGGCTGGTTTGTGGCTTTACTTTGCTCAAAGTAACCTCTTTTGCATTTTACAATATTGTTACAATGGCCTCACTGGGATGTGCCAAGCAGGTCTTCTCAGCCATATTTTCAGACGAAGAAACAGGAATTTGGAGCACGTGAGAGGCTTTTCCTATAAGCACACAGATATTAAGTTGTACGTCTGGAACACAAACACCCATCTCCTCATTCCTTCTCTTGAATTCTTTCCAAAACTCATCTTTATTGTGTGATCCAAAGGAATTTCTACAGTGTTGGCCACAGTGTAGGTAATTTTTTTACTTTCTTAAAAGAATAATTAGGGCCGGCCCCGTGGCTTAGCGGTTAAGTGCGTGCGCTCTGCTTCTGGTGGCCCGGGTTCAGATCCTGGGCGCACACCGATGCACTGCTTCTCCGGCCATGTTGAGGCCGTGTCCCACATACAGCAACTAGAAGGACGTGCAGCTATGACCTACAACTATCCGCTGGGGTTTTGGGGGGAAAAAAATAAATAAAATTAAAAAAAAAAAAAACCAAAAC